CTCCGCCGGGAATTTGGCTGCTTTGGGCTCCGATCCGCCACTGCAAGTCCCTCTGTGCTGCCCCCTCCCTGTCACCTCCCTCTGCCGACAGCCAGCTGCCCAATTGGGTGCACACATGGGCCCCCTTGGCAGAACTCCTGGGTCTGTCCAGCCTCCGTCTGAGCTGCAGGGCCGCCTGGATCAGACCCGCAGCCTGGCCGGGCACCAGACCAAACGCTGGCCGAGCTCTGCCCTCCTCTCCACAGGTGCCTTGGAATGGGTGCCGGGCCAGCTGGCTCTGCGTGGCACTTGGCCCCGGGACCCCCAGGACAGGCATGGCTCGGGGGAGCCCGCCTGGGGACAGTGGCTTCGCCTGCCCGCACCGCCCGGGCATCCTGTTGGGGGCTGGAGCCCTTACAGCAGGTGGGCTTGCAGAGGTCCGGAGAGCTGGGGGGGGGGGGCATGCACGGCACCTGCCTGGCAGTCTCCAGAGCAGCAAAAGAAGCAAGGGAGGCAGCCACACCCCCACGGAATGATGTGTGTCCGCAGCTGCTCGGTGCCTGGTGGCCACCGCAGGGGACACACAAGGAAACCCCCTGGGAGGGCAGATCAGGGCAGACCCCAGACCCCGCACGGTGGTCTCAGCCACCCACCGGCCCCAGCAACCAGGGGACATGCGGCGATGGGCGACACTTGGGATTGTCACGGCTGGGGGCGTCATCCAGTGGGTGGAGTCTGGGTGATGCGAATACCCGGCAACACACGAGACGGCCAACACAGCAGACCGTGCCGGGCGGGATCCCACTATAGACGGTGCTGGCAAGTGCGTGGCTCATGTGCTCGGCCGTCCCCCACACGGACCCCAAACTGGGATGCCATCCTTGTTAAAAACACAGAGCTCCAGGTGCCGGCCAGACACGGGATGGATGACTTCATTAACACCCCACCCCCGCCCATGACCGCTGAGCTCCCCACTCCAGCTCTGTCCTCAGGGGGCCCCCAGGCCCACAGAAGGCAGGCAGGCAGGAAAGGCATCACGATGGACAGATGGGGGAGCGCAGGCCCTCCCGCAGGGGCTGGAGGTGTGGGTCCCCCGGGCCACCCTGTCTCTGGGGCTTCTCGGCAGGCCTCAAAGCCACCTCTAACTTGCTGCTCACCCAGAAGGGGGTGCCACTTGGGGTGGGTCCCATCCCTGGGCTCACCCACGGTGCAGGCAGGCCCTGAGGCCGCTTCATAGGGTCTGCCCATCTCAGAGGGCCGCAGGAAGGTGAAAGCTAGCACAGAGCCACATCCTGGGCTCTCTGACAGCCTCGGGAACCAGGGTGACTGGGGTGGGAGTGTTCACAAGGCCCCAGGAAGCCCATTTCAGGGAAAGCAGCCCAGACCCCTGCGTCATGCAGACAGAGCCATGGCAACCCTTGACCCAGGGGTGCAGGGCACCCCACTCTCAGGAGCTGTGCGCGTGGGGACGGGACCAGGAGCCCCGGGGGATGTGCCAGCCCCTCTGAATCAGAGGACAAGGGCTCCTCATGGTGTCTGCGTCCCCCCAAGATCCTGCTGGGCTTATGTCACACTCACCAAGGCTTGGCCTGGGCCCGGGCATGGGAACCCACAGTCTGTCAATGCCCAGCCTGGAGATGGCAGCTTGGGGCAAGCTGGAAAAATCTCAGAGCCTCAGGGTGACCAGGCTGCGCCCTGCCCAGTGCTTTCCCTCCTGCCTCTGCCCACGGGCACTCCTCCCAGGACGGCGACGCGGACAGTGAGAAAGTCATTCCCCAAACCAGGGTGCGCGGGTGTCCACTGTGCAGGAACCTTCCACCTGGTCCCTCCTGAACCCTCTGGGGTTCCACATAATGGTCGTGTATGTGGTGGAGCGCACTGAACAGGGTACCCCCAA